TGCCTAAAAATATTCAAGGGGCATGCAAACAATGCAAATCCAACGATCCCCATCCCCAGCTGCCCTTTTTGGTACAGCCTCAACTTTGTTTAGTCAATTTAGAGCAAACATTGTGGATGTGTGTTGCAATGGAATGAATGCAAAATGTAGCGATAATTCGATGGGTTTTTGGCACTTTTTTATCTCAAATATAAGTCATTCCAGCTGCCAGCTAATCCCGCTCTGAAATGTTAGCTCCAACATCTATTTTATACTCAATTTTAAGCAACTTACAAAATGAATTACGACAAGTGCCCGTACCACAAAAGTTCCAAAAATGATTTATTTGAGGGCTTAGAAATGTGAGCGTAATTTAATCAACTCGAATATGAAACTAGAAACTAGAAACTGCAATCGGATCGGGGTCCTGGGTGCTGGGTGCTGGCAGCAGCAACAGGCAATTCGTGATAAAAGTCAAATAATTTTCAGCTATTTTTAATTAACCAAATATGTGTTTGTGTGTGTACAGCACGCACACAATTACAGTTGCATGAAATAATATGTTTAGGATGGTGTCACACGTTGAGTTCTTTGCCGAATATTTTTCAGCAAGTTTTCTAATATTTTGTATCTTTTTCATGGGATTGTGCAAAGTTTTCCACGATCAAGTATCATCAGATAGCGACGGTGAAATTCCATCGGCAACATGCGCAACGTGCCACAGCAGGCAGCTTTAGGCAGCCTCGTAAAAAGAGCGAGAGAGAGAGAGTGAGAGAGAGCGGAAGACCAAAAGGGGAAATGTAAATATGACAGGCGAAATTAATTTGCCCAATGCAAATATGCAAAATGTGGAAAATGTTCGCCGCTGCTGCCTTTTGCCACTCTCTGCCACTGCGCTTACTTTTACACAGTGCCCTACCAGTGTGTGTGTGTTTCCTCTATTCCATGACGCTCCCCCTCTCTTTTTTACATGCATATGTATGTATGTCTGTATATTGTACATGCGGTGTCATATATTTTTGGCAGCCACCCGGCGAGTCCTACCCGAAACAGCATGAAAAGCAAATAGCTGAAAAATATTCGCTGACGCTTACGAGTCGAGAGCAAAAATTCCAAGCTGAGTGCTAAATGCAGGAACCAACACACACACATACACTCATAAAACACACAATTATAATGCAAGTCATGCGTTATCAAAACCCGAAACCCAAAACCCAAAACCCACAGCGCAACCAAAGCTGCTACCCAAAACTCTGCTGCTCAAATATCATGAGGCGCTGTTTGGGTAGAATTTCCAAGAAATTTCACCTGCGCTGGGCAACCCTGGGCTAAAGCACACACACCCACACACACGCTGGCATCACAACCTGGCTGCATCCTTGCTAATATCTCTGGCTAGCTTAGTTCATGTCAAGTTGTTGCTGGCTATGTGACTCTGCCAACTAGTAGTCGAAAACAAGGGTGGAGACTGCAACTGAGGTGCAGGCAGAGCAGCGGTACCCAGCGGGCGACATTTGCCAACAAGAAGCTCATTTTCAAACGGCTGCAACAGCTGCATAACCCAGTGAACATATTTGCGGGTGATTTTCAACAGGTGAAATGTTTTGAGTTAGATTGAGATATTAAAGCGGTGTTTGGAGACATTCTCTCTCAATGTTTTCTGACTCTATAAATATAATCATTTAAAATATGCATCTAACCCAAAGGCGTCGGTATCAAAGCTTAACGGATAACATTTGATCAAGCGCTTGCAGAAAAGTTGTCTTATGTGCAAAAGCTGCGCGTCGCTTCTGCCTATGCACAGAGATCAGCCGCAGCGGCAGAGAAATAGCCTCATATGTGGCCCATTCACAATTACTCGGCGCGCCGCAGCGGCAGAGAAGCAAGGAACGTTTTTATGACCAGAGAGCAAAGCAGCCAAAGAAAGCGCGCGCTCTCTCTCTCTCTCTGCCTATCCCAAAGGTAAATGCATAGTGAAGATCCGTTGCTCGGCCGCAGCGGCAGAGACGCAAGCATTTCCTTATTCTCTTCTCTCCGTTAGCTCTGCACTTGCTCACTGGGCTACCACTTGCATATGCATGGAGTGCATGTAGTTCTGCGTCGCCTTCTCATTATGCATAAATTGTGGCTGCGGAGACTGCACTGAATTATGGCAAAGTTAATGGCATTATAATACCAAAATGCTGACATCTGCGAATGCCAAGTGGAGCACTCCAGCAACGCATATTGAGCATATTCCAAGCATTTCCTAAAGCTCTGAAAAAATACGGCACTTTGTTGCTGGTCCGATGCATGAATTGTTGGGACAGGGAGAGCGGCTGACCGCTCGTTTGCTGTCTCCCTCCAGAGCTTGCTTCTTCGGTGTGTCTGGCAAGGGGAGGGGCAACATGCATGGGTCACTGATGTCAGCACACATACACATCAGTGCCAGAGCCCTGAGCTTTTTTTGCTGAGCATAGGATTCAAGGAGTATTATTTATGGGTAAGTAAGAGAATTTAATATAATTTGATGTAATGTTTCAATGTAAGTAGATTGTTTATGTTGTTGTTTTCTAACTTATGTAACCAAATAATATATTTATTTACAGGGTATTACATTTGCCATCAGCGACTCCTCTGCTCTTCCTTGTTTCGCTTTTTTAACGCGATTCTGACGCTCGCGCTTGTAGCCACAGGACACAGGACCGCTTTGAGGCTACAACCGCAACAACAAGGGCTTCCCATAACGCTCAGCCTTTGCTCTGCTTGCTGTGCGCTTGCTTCCTGTACACGCCCCACGCCGCCACCGCAAACTTGCGGCCAAGGAGCACCATCACCAGCACCAGCACCAGCCCTGCTCCAACATCCGGCTTCCGATTCGCCTTTCACCATCGCCAATGGCTTCGCCTTCGCCCTCGCTAGTTGGTTACTGTTAACTTGTTTTGATTTTTTAATGGCTCCCCGCCTGACAACAAGCCAACATTTATGCCTTGCTCTCATAACTGCCCCACGAGCTTAAAGCGCAGGCAACAGGCAGGCAGGCAGGCTGGCAGGCAGCTTTAATGACGGATTTTCTCTCAAGTTTCGTAGCGTGAAAAATTTGTCACGTGAATGAATGCTCTGCGTGACTTTTGTCGAATAATGGCTAACAACAATGGCCAACAATTCATCTATGTTGGCGCCATGAAAGATACTACTCAGCATTTGACGGGAGCCTAGGAGTCGTACCCAAAGCTTTTGTCATGCAAATTGCTGAACAAGCAGGGCGAGGACCAGCAGCAAGAGTCGTGACGTTGATTGCTCATGAAGTCAAATTAAAAGCAAACAAGGCTCAGCCAGAACAAGGTGAAGTGTGGAATGCTCTTTAAAATTACACCCAAAAGGCAATCCTCTAGGGAGCGAAACTTAAGCTACAAATGACACACAAAGTTCCAAGAAGAACTTCCCAAAATATTCCCACAGCTAGTGTAACCCCTTCTCTAGGGTATTTCCACGCGAAACTGCAGCTGAAGCAAAGTGAACTGCTTACCTTCCAGACCATTTCCCCCTTCTACCAGTTACCTCCATTAACCATTTCCATGTTGTTCGCATGCAACACTCGGAGTAAAAAACAAAAGAGCTGCCAACGCGTGGCAAAAACCAAGGAAAAAGCCAGCCCAGAAGGGAAGTCAAGTGAAGGAGAAGTACAGTTGACGTTAAAGGGGAAGCACACACACAAAAGTCAAGTCGGAAAACTTTTGTTCTTGCTGCTGCTGTAAGAAGGAGAATGATGAGGAGGCGTGGTCCTTGTGCAGAGTCGTCGATTTTAATTACGTATGCAATTTATTTATTACCTTTTGGCCGGAAATATTGTGCGATTGTGTTGCCTTGTTGCCCTTTCTGTACGGATGTGGCACAAGGAGCAAGGAACAAGGAACAAGGAACAGGCATGCAGTCCGGGCAGGACTCAGATTTAACATGCGGTTATGAAGTTATTTTTCATTTTCACAATTGAGTCCTGTCCATTGAGTGGCACGAGAAACCTCCATCAGAGTACATTTTCTGATTGAAAAACTCAACTTGCTGGAAGTTACTTTAAGTAAATGAAGTCTCGAGACTGCCCGAAAATGATAAACCCAATTCCCCGCTCGATTACCGGCGGATGTGCCAAGTGAGAATTATGAGCGAGTAGCCCCATCAATTTCTATTCAAAATTCCCTCTCCTGACACACAGACATGCCCCTCCTGTCCCTAATAAATCCTTGACCATAGCGTGTGTCCGCCAAATTAGCTTTTTCATTACGAAAAACAAGCAAAATTTGTTCACAATGTTGTCGTGTGCCTCATTCACATTCAAAAATTGGTTGCATTACTTGATTAGGGGAGCTGTTATTAAAATTCAATCTAAAAATGTTCAGCGTTTCAGCGTTCAGCGTTGGAGCAGCTGATTGCATGTCTAATCGAGTTTAGCAGCCTTTTTGCAGCGCGGATGTGTGAGAAATGTGTGAGGGGCACAGGACCCATGGCAAGGACCCAACAAGGAAATTAACGAATTTCGTATTAAGTGCAAATTCCGGCAGCCAATTCCGTGTCAGGCGATTGTGATTTGATGGAGTTCACCTGCAGCCAAATGCGTTTCTAATGTGACTTGCATGCTGATCACATCAGCAGTGTTGGTAAACGGCCCTGGCATAGGATAAACAAAGGCTCTGTCTGATTCCTTCAGGAAACCAGGAAAGTGGATCAGCAAAAAATACGATCAAAAAGTGCGCCAAAGTGTGGTGCGTTTGAACACTAGGAATATGAATAATCATAAAAAATACTTTTGTTTTCATTTCGAAAATCGATGAATCTAACAAATACTTACACAACTATCGATAGCTATCGCGTGCCTTACAAATATCGCACGAACAGCTGTTTGCCAGCCCTCAAATGCAACTCTGAATTTTTCCCACGCTTTTAGTAATTTTGTTGCGAGGAACTTTGTGAAATTTGTCAAATTCAATCAGAAAACTCAGATCTGGTGTGCAGCTGTGTGATTTGTCAATCAAATTCCAACAGAGCTCGAGCTAGCAACAACATTTTCAGTAAATTTTGGAACGTAAACTCGAAAACAGCTAAAGCGAAACCCAGGCGAAGTTTTCGACAAACGCAAGGGAAAAAAAATAGAAACAGCGGCAAAAACTGGTAAGAAGACTGTGCCGGAACATGAGGGCACATAGTTGAGTGTGTGGCAATAATAAACCAAAGATTTGTGTAGCTCAGGAAAGTGCTTTGAACAAATAAAGCTGAAGCCATGTCGGACCGCAAGGCAGTGATCAAAAATGCAGACATGAGCGAGGAAATGCAGCAGGATGCCGTGGACGTGTCCACCGCGGCCTTGGAGAAGTTCAACATCGAGAAGGACATTGCCGCCTACATCAAGAAGGAGTTTGACAAGAAGTACAATCCCACCTGGCACGTCATCGTTGGCCGCAACTTCGGCTCGTATGTGACCCACGAGACGCGTCACTTCATTTACTTCTATTTGGGCCAGGTGGCCGTGCTGCTGTTCAAGAGCGGTTAAATGGAGGTCTACAAATTAGCAAATAAGCGAAACCCATTCACACAACCATAGACAAGAAGGCCACACAAATTCCAAGCCCCCAACAATTCAGCGCAAAGAAAAAGACAAATTTAAAATGCACAAACTACACACTTGAAATTAAATGCTAGCGATGCTAGATAAATTGAGTTTAACTAATTGGAGATTACAACTATAAGAAAAGAGAGTGCAAACCCTGTGGAACAGAAGCATCAATGACCTCTTTGATGTCAGCCAAAATTACTCTGAAAAATCTGCGAATTTTCAGGGAATTTCCTTAAAGGTTTCCCCCAATGAAGCCTGAACCTGCTCTGTTTGAACTCCACTGATAATGCCTTTTGGGTTTAATTCCTGCATTCATTCACACCTCGAGCCAGTAGCTCCGTTTGAGTCCATCGCAGGGCAGACAATGGGACGAGGACAGTGGCAGCAGCAGCATCCGCCTCACCTGGTTATGGGCAAATAAAAAATTGCTTAATTAACTTAATTAAAATATTGTCGCTGTGCAGCGTGTCGACTCATCTGCTGCTGCTTCCGTGTGTGCTGTGTCCCTGGCATTTATGTACTTTTATTATCATGGCGATTGGCTATGGATAGGACTGGACAGGACTGGACCAGCGCGGTCGCTCGGTAATTATGCCAGATCACGTGCGAGTTCGGTCCGCAGCATGGAGTCTGGTCCGAGTGCTCAGCCGCAATAATAATCATAAAAATAATATTAATAAAGTTCTCAAAGAGCTCGCGCGGGTACACATATTTGTGAAATACTTTTACACTCAGCATATGGAAATATTTTCCATTGCGAATTGTTGGGAGTTGGCTCTGAGCCGCTTTCACAGTTCGACGACTTTTGGCCTTGTCGGACAGCTGACGTCAGTCAGACTGATTCTCATGCATGTTTCATGGCTCGCTTAAATGCGCCAAAGGATACAACGATATGGAGCCCAAAAAAGAGGAAAGTAATTCCTCAATTCGGCTGCTAAAGCCGTGCCATAAAAATGTAAGTGCCACGCAATCAGTTTTACGCTGCACAAAATCTTTATTAATATTTTTTACGCTTGTCAATTTATGGACAATATTTCAACGGGCATTCCCGTTCATTCATATTTATTTTTTATGCTCTTTGACATTAAAAAAGGGCAGGCAAAAGGTTGGCAAATGTTTGGATTTGCGTCAACAGTTAAAGTGTTTCATGGATGCTCATGGATCTCGGTTCTGTTTGTTGGTTGTTTATCCTTCCAGCGTTGCTTCGTGTCTGCTTTTGCCTGGCTGAATGCGAAGAGGAGCGGCTTTTGGGTTCGAGTTGAGTCTGCGCAGTGGCTGGCTGAGAGTTTTCTTTCTGGCGAGTGAGTAGATGGCGCTCGCGAGTAAGGGAACAGAAACTTCTCGTTGCTTTTTAGAGAGAGTTTTGAGTGGAAAATTTTGTGTTTTGGGTTTTTGAAGAGTTTTTTGAAAGAAAATCTATCAGTTTTGGTTCCTTGCTCTGGGTTTTATTGACCGGCAAGTCTGCAGAATGTGTAGAAATAATTTTAAAATATTTTCTAATATTTTTACTAAAAGTTTTTGTTCCACATGCAATACGTTTCCTGGTTTATTTTATTTGCACATTTGGCATATGAGTTCCAGCTCCATGTGGTTTATTCTAACTGCCACAACCTTGCAGCAACACAACAACCTTCACCCCTCAAACTGCTAGTTCAGCAACAAATGAGCAAAACTCTTGACCTCCGCGCATAAAATGAACAAAAACTTTTATAAATTACTGTCAGTAGCAGTGACCTCAATATGAAAATTACAAAACATAACTTGAACAAATATACTCACACACAGTTGCAATAGATACGAGTGTAATTGCGTTTTGCTTGGCTTACACAAAAAACCCCACTAAAAAACATCAACCGGACCAACCGCAGAAAAACCATACGCAATGGCCATGGAAATGTAACCTTTTTTTACTGTAGTGTGACCTCAGCTGCTATAATTATTGCCATTTTTTGCAGCTCTTATGTTTTGTATTTTCATATGTGAGAGGGAAAACGGGTCAGCCCAAAGTCAACATTTGTTTTGGCACAGGGCAGGGCTGGCCGACTCTCGACAATGACAAAAAATAACAGAAAGAGGGGCGCAGAATCTTAATGAAACACAAAACTAGACAGGGCGGAGGATGGGATTCCACAAACAACAATAACAACCGCATGGCATAAAAAGTCCCAGCAGATTCTCATTAAACAAAACAAAAATGTCGACAAATTTGTACCGAAAATGATAATCATACAAAAATGTGCAACGAAGGGTTTGGTACTCTATAAAGGGAAGCTTTGGGTGAAAATATTCTGCTAAAACTTCATTTAAATGCCACTCTGTATGCAGATTTTGCCACCAACAAATCCTGCATTTTGTCATGCCCTGTCCTGTTCCATGTGGAACATTATGTAGGCGTGGTCAGCGCCAAAATATCATACAGCCATTGCTCCGGATAATCGCAGACATAAACAAAAAAGTAATCGCAGCCAGAAAGACAGCCAAGAGAGAGAGAGAGGGAGAACAGAGAAGAGCTTTTCTCTGAGCCCTGGCGGAAGTTACTTTCTTCTTTTGGTTCCCATTTTCTCTTTTTTTTTTGTGTTTGGTGGGTGCTCTGGCTGCTGGCTGTGTGATGAATGAGGCTGCGAGTCGGATGTGCCCACATACTCGTACGCCAGCCGGCCCACTTGGGAGTCGATTTTTCATTTGGCTTACGTATCATCAACCAGAACTTGTCTCTCGCCTCTCCCCCTCTCTTACTGTTCCTTTTGCCGCTCGTATCTCTGCCTGACCAATTCCATTGTCGTCAACGTCGTTCTTCTTGTGCTCCTGCTGCCGCTGCCGCTGCCGCTTCTAAGCTCTTGTCTTGGCTTGGACTCGGATTTGCGTGACCATCTCCTCTCTACAGTGCCACTCCAACGGACTGTCACACTTCCTCCTACCAGTGCCACTCCATCGGACTGTCACACTCTCCTCTACCCCTCCCTCTTGCTTTTGTTTCCATTTGTCGCTTTAAAGCTTTGCGCCTCAATTGTTGTTTTCTTTCTTATTGTTGCTGGCTGGCTGTATAGTTTTTGGATTTTTTCCGTTTCCTCATTGTCTACTCATCACATCTTATCTCTTTTGGCTTTTTTTGGTGCACGGTATGCATGGAGTATATTATGTGGTTTTATTATGGAGGCATTTATAGAAAGACGAAATATTTTTCGAGCTGAATGCTTAAGTATGCTCTTGATTAACGGCAAATAAACGACGTGCCGAATGTTGCCAGTGCACTGTGCAAAAGATCTTCGAAGAGAGTGAGAGTGAGTGAGAATAGGAGAGCGCTAGAATTGCTCGGCGCTGCTGCTAGAGCGAGAGCACAGCTGCGACGCTGCCGCTGCAGGTCCGAAACGAAGAAGGTGGGTGGGATAGAGAAACGAAAAAACGACCGCGGCAGTGCGTACGCTTGAGCAGGTAGCAAAATATAGGCACAGTGGGCAGTGCGCCTAATGCTGATTTGTAATTTTCGAAAGTTGTACTTCTCAGAATATTGTTTAGATATTTTTTTAACAAATTAATAACAAATTACTGTAACTACTGAGTATTTTGTAGTCTTCAGATCTTTGCCATTTGTTTTTTTCCTTCTACTGTTCCGTTATTGTTTGCCTTTGATAAATTGTGCGCTTTTCCTTCTGACACATGTCAGCGTTTGTCTGCCCAAATGGAGGCATAGAGCGGAGAGGGAACTACTCCACTGTGGGCTGAAGCATTCGTCTAGGCCCAATGTACTGAAAAGACCCCAAAGGTTATTGCACTTTTTGGTTGTTTGTTTTTAATTTGGTGCTGCACTTGTTACCCCCCACCACCACATTAAAGTCTGTCTACACCTTTAACCCCAATCATATGTTTGCCTCTCTGTCGACCTTTAACCTCAAGCAAATCGTTGCCTCTGCGCCGACCTTTAACCTCAGTCAGCCTCAACCTCTTTGCCTTAACTTTTGTTTCGGTTTTATCTATTTTTTGTGGTAAATGTTTTTCTTGGTGACACTTTCAGGCCTGTCTGTCAGAGCGCCTCAACTCAAGGCCCTGTGGCTGCGACGTCTGATGCCAGGGACAGAGAGGGCCTCCAACCTATGTACGCCTGCCCGAGCACCACATGTTCTGTATGTCCTGTCAGAGTATGTCCGGCTGCCGTGTCCTGTATGGCCCGTGCCCATGTTTCGTGTCCGTGTCCGTGTCCGTGTCAGACGTCACTTTATGCGCCTGACAGCGGCAACAATTTTATTTACTTAATTTGGCTTTAGTTTGTCATTTATTTACTTGTTTGCCACAACAACAACAGTTGGCCAAAGTGTCCGGTGTCGTAGCTACACACTGATCCAATCTCTCCCTACCGCTCCACCCGCTCCCACCCGTATCTGGTCTCTCGTCTCTCTTGTTCTCGTAGAGGAGATCTCTGGGCTCACTGCGTCGTGTGCGTTGCTAATGCTCTGCCTGTTGTTGTCACTTGTGACGCTGACGTTTGATGTTGTTGCAACTGTTGTTGCTATTGTTGTTGCTGGTGCTTGCTTTTGACTTTGCTTTGTTTTATGTGCTTTTATTTGGGATAAAGAGTCTTTGGAATTTTATGATCTCTTTGTGCTTACACTCTAATTGTAGCAGATTATGTTACAAGATAAAGTATTATAGCTAGATGTATTTGTATGCCACTAACTGCTTGGGTAAGCAGCCAAATATTAGTCAGCAGTAGAGTAAATCCTAATCATTGTTTGCCATTTGCGCTGCCCACTGTAAGCGCACAGTCTCTCCCCCACGGCATCCCGCACCCCTCTTTCTGTGCTTTGCCATCGCTGCGCTCTCTCGATCTGTCGCTCTCTTAATCTGCCGCTGCCTTGATCTATCGCTCTCTCGCTTGCCCTTGGCTTCATTCCTGACCTACCACTCTCTTCGTTTTGCACATCAACTCTCTTGCTGCTTGGACTTTCCTCTTGCTCTCTTGCTGCTATGTTTGTACATGGCTGCCTTCCCTACTAAGCTCTGCATTTAAGAGCATTTCCCTATTCGATTTGCCACTCCTCATTTGGTTTTATTTGTAACACGGTGACACATTTTGCTGCCCGCACTTTATTGCACATCGTTGTCGCTGTCCCTCTCCCTCTACCTGCGCTATATACTGTTGAGCTGAGCGTGCCATTGAATTTTTTATGAGAGTTTAGAGCAAAAGTTGTTCGTTTCTTTGTTTGTTGTCGGAGCCCGTTTTTGTGCTGCTGCTGCTGCTGCTGCTGCTGTTGCACTTTGGAACTTTAATTAAATATGTATTTCAATCATTTTCGGCAAATGGAAGGACAGGCTACAAAATCCATTCAATGTCAGAGTGAGATCTCACACACACACACACACACAAGTGGAGTGGAGTGGGGTTGACCGGGGGCCAGGGCACTAACATTTGTCATTACACATTAATAGCGCACCATTAATCTTTTTCGTAGCGAGCCGAGTGTGAGAGAGCGGGTCAGAATGAATGCCAGTTCCGGGGGTCTGTGCCCGGAGCCCGAAGCCTGAACCTGAATCTGAATCTGAACCTGGACCCGAGCGCGCCGTCGTCAGACGCACAAAACCGTTAATTAATGTATGCCATTTAGCTGGAAAATTGCAAAAGGGAAACACTCTCACAGACACGCACACGGCAACGCAGCGCAGCTAGAGATGGGCGTTTGGAATTGGCAGCGTGAGGAAGCCACGAAGTGTTAATAATATGAAATTTATGCGCCAAAACTCCTTCTTGAAATGCAAAGAGTCTGAGCAGTAGCAAAACATTCGCTTGCAGCTGTGAATAATATTCAATCCTTAGCCATTCCTTCAACTATCGCAAGAGCTAACATTTGTCACGCTGCCATCCCTGGCGCACATGTGCTTTGCCCGGCCCATCATAATGAGCGCCAATTTAGTGCCCTTTTGAAGGGGGGGGGGGAAGGTAGCCACTGGTCTGGGGTTGGCTGCAACGGTAGTTGAGTGGGCGGTAGTCTTTGTCGCCACCGCAAACAAGCAAAGGCAAAAGCCGCAGCAGCAGCAGCAGCAGCAGCGACGGAGGCAGCGACTGCCCAGCAGGTATGCTTGATTAATGCTTTATAACAAGCAGCGCACAAAGCCCCCCACTGAATCCGCAGCAACAAAAGAGAACCCAAACCACGTCCACACCACAGCCCATTGGCATTTGTGTCGCCATCGTTCTTGCATTTTAACATTAATTTAGTGGAATGCTGCAGGAGGCCATAGAAGCTTTTCAGCAGTCGTCATCGTCGTCGACACATGTTAATCCCCCCCAATGTTGTGGCTCTAATTGTTGCCACCCAAAAACACTGGGATTTGGCACTGAGGGAAGGTCCTTTAATTACTCGTACTCTCACTCGTTTCACGATGGTTTCCAATCGATTGGGTTTTGCAGGGGAAATGGCAATGTCCGAGCCACACAAGAAATGCCTTTCACTTAGGGAAACTTTTACTTTACGTGTGATAATTACAATGTTTTAATTTTTAATGAATATTTAACTATTTGCAATTTTGGAATAAAATAAACCTGAGTCTGCTCTGGGCTTTTACTCTTTGGCAGGCGCATTATCCTTCTCCACTTCTTGGCTGCGTCTCACTGATTTCCGCACCGAGTTTCGTATCTTGTCCCTGAAATTATAAAGAATGGGGAAATATACATAAATAAATGGTAAAAATATCAAAATTGAGTCTTAAAAATGTGAAATAAAATCTAAAAGAATATTTAATGCAGCCTTGAGGATTCTTTCTCTACAACCTCAAACCAAATCCCTTCCAAAACGCTTTCCCCGCTTCAGTTCCCCATTCTGTTTGGCGCTCTTTTTTTTTTGTAACTTAATTTAATTAAGAAATTACAAACTCTGAGATCCCCCCCAGCTAGATTATTATTATTTTTACTCCTTCACGCTGCGCATTTATATTTTTTTTTTGCATATATTTCCAAATTCCATTTCTATTTTTGCAGCAGCGCTTTTTGCCCTTGAGTGCTTCCTGTGGCGCTCGTTCGTTCATTAGGCAAAAGCGGAAGAAAGGCAGCGAAGCGGCAAGGAGAAGTTGAAAAAAACGCTAGAGAGAATTTTAGATAGGAAGAGTGGATGGACTAGGAAGTACCTAGGATACAGGGGCAGAGTTAGGGGTTTGAAAAGTGTCTTTTTGCTTGGTTCCACAGTATGCCCTCGTCGACCCTCCCACGACTCGGCTATAGCCAAAGCTAAAGCTAAAATGAAAAGTGAACAAAAAAAAGCAAGAGGAAAGAGTGTGTCTAAAGAGTTGAAAGGTTTATTCACTTTGCCGTCTGCCGCTGAAGCTGGGAGGGGACACATTTTCCTAGCTGAACGTTAAGTAATTATAAGTTGGAGCCCAAAGTTGCAAGTTGGCAGCTGCATATGGCCTAAGACGACAGCCAAGTGTGTGTGCCTGCGTATGCGTAATGTGTGTAAATAATTAAATTCTCAAACAATTGGCCATTGAATAGACAACAAAATGGGGGCAGAGCTCTGTTGACTCTTAGCCTGGAGATTTATTTATTGTCCATGGGAAATGCTTAATCAGCTTTGATTGAATGGCACTTGATGGGAAATATATACACCAATTGAACCACGAACACTGGCCAGGCATTGTTGCTTCTAATCCGTTTTAAGCTCCAACTGAATTTGCATTTTAGTTTTCATTTGGCAGAAAGTGTTTTTCAATTAAATTGTATTTCATTATGCAGCAGATAAAAGCAACAATGAATAAAGTACGAGCACTCCATAGCTATGGTTGCTGGCTTTTTTTCCGGATCAATGTCGGTAAACAAATTTTAATTGGTTTGGATTTTGGACCATTACCATATTCCCGCTCGTATTTGCATGTGAACAAGTTTATGATTTTCCTTGGCAACATTTATATTTAGTCTATGTGTTTTGTTCTCTGCTCAAAACTCTCTTCTGGCAAGTCTGAATGGGCAAAGCTTTTAGTCAGATTGCCAGCATTTACTGCTGGCCATTTGGCAAAGATTTAACCGCAAATCTGTTGAGTAGGAAGTGCATAGCATAGAAGGATGTGTGTTTAAATCACTTGCACTGCAGCTAAAAGAATCTCTATTGCGTCCTAGAAACATGTCTGGAAGAGACTTTAGTGAGCTGAATCTTCAGCAGAATATAGCAGGTATCACCGCTCGGCAATCTGTAGAGTTTCAATCTTGTAATCCCGACTCTCGGCTTACCAGTTCCTTGAGGCTCGTTTCGAGCCAGTATCTTCCATGTCAGCCGCCTCATTTTCAGAATTCTCTTCCGTGCGTGCTGCATCATCCTCTTGCTGCTGTTCCCCGGACTCTTGCTCTTCCCTAGACTCCTGTTTGTCCATGGGCTGTCCTGGACTCTCAACCACTGGACTGGGCTTGGGCTTGGGTCTTGGTGCTTCCTTGCTGAGTGGCGCCAGGCCAAACCATTCGGGCTTGAACTCCTCCAGCGACTCCAGCCGCAGTGCTGCCAACTCCGACCAGCAGTAGGGCAGCTTCTTCTCGGGCACCATGACGACCTTCAGTCGAGCATCCGCTGCCGCCTGCACGCCCTTGATGCTGCCATCGAACACCAGAGTATTGCTGGTGTCCGCCTCGCCCAAACGCGACATGGCAATCAGATAGACATCCGGCTCCGGCTTGGGTCGCTTCAGCTGCGGATCATCCGCACAGATCAGCGTTTCAAAGTGCTCAAAGAACGCTTCCCGTCCGCGTATCTTCTGGCAGTAGAGCTTCTCGCAGCTGGAACTAATCAGCGCCAAGGTTATGCAGCATTTGTAGAGGTGCCGCACGAGGCGCTCCACGCCGTCCATCAGCGGCGGATTGGAGATGAGCTCCGAGGCGCGTTCGTTGACTTGCAGCAGGAACTGCTCCCAGGTGACGGGTATATTGCACTTGCGGACAATCAGCTCCGCCATCTCACCCGTGGCCATGACCCCGATGGGCAGCAGCACCAGCTCGGGCACCTCGCGATTGTAGCTGGCTGCAATGTCGATGACAGCACGGCGATAGACGTTGCGGGTGTCTGCAGTATGGATTGGGATTGGGATTGGGATTAATACCTCCTGGGGCAGTGTTTCAATCACTCACCGAACACCGCACTCTCCAGATCAAAGATGCAGTAGCATATCCTCGGCTGACAGCAGCTGGGCGGACAGCAAATGGGGCAGGGCGGCGGTGGGCGACGGCATCTGTTGCACATTTTGGTGGTGATCAAAATAAGATACGCACTTGGAGGAAATTTTCGGAATTTTCAAACTGAATTTATGGAAGTTGTAACCCAAAATTGACAGCTAAAACTGAGGAGAATTTTGGCAGCAAAAGAGATTTATCGATCTTCCTCCTGCTAGTCCGCTCTAAAACGGTGGCAATCCAAAGTACTGCGGCCTGAACGCCTCCAACGAACGCAGTCTCAGCGTAGCCGGAGCACTCAGCCGTATGGAGAGCAGCGGATCTGGCACGAGTACCACCTGCATGCCGGCGGCCAGGGCGGCCTGCATGCCCAGCAGCGAGAACTCAAAGGCCAAGCAGTTCTCGGGCTTTGCGGGTGGATCCTCGCTGAAGCGAGCGGCAGCCAGCAAGAATATATCCGGCGCGGGCTTGCACTGCTTTACCTCCGAGTCGGAGCTGCCGACAACCGCGTGATGGAAGACCCCGAAGAGCTGCGAGTGGGGACGCACCTTCAGATCGTACAACTCGCGATTGCCGCACGTCTCGATGGCCATGGGCACATTGCAGGACTGCAGATGCCGCAGCAGCCGCTCCACGCCGGGCATCAGACCCACCGAAGACAAATGCTCGCGGCTGTGCAGCTTGTGGAGACGCTGGAACTGCGTGCGGCTGATGGGCAGCTGGAAGCTGTCGATGATGAGGCCCGCCGCCTCCGCTGTGCTTGAGCCCATGCAGCGCAGCTTCAGGTCAAAGCTGTAAGTGTGACCAAAAGGATCAAGGATCTTCTGCACCGCATTCGTGTAGAGTCGCTCGCTGTCGAGCAGCAGGCCGTCCAGCTCAAAGATGCAATGGGTGACAGGCCGAAAGCAGCAGTGCCGCGATGAGGCCTGCGATTCGGACATCTTTTTGGGGAGTTTATTTTGATTCTGTTTTATGCTGTGGAACTTTGAATTTTGATGGATTGTGATGGGTGTGCTGTGTGTCCGTTAGCCAAACTCAAACTTTGAGCACGTGTCGTAGTGGGGCAGACCGAAAAGTTGCGGCTTAAAGTCCGCCATCGAATCAAGCACCTGAGTGGCGCCACGTCGCAGCTGTGCGGGCACTCGGGGATCGGGTATGAGCACCACCTGCATGCCAGCCGCAATGCCCGCCCGCAGTCCGTTGGGCGAGTCCTCGAACACGAGACACTTGCTGGGCTCGGGCGCAGGATGGAAGCGAGAGGCGGCCAGCAGAAAGATGTCCGGCAGTGGCTTGCCCCTGCCCGGCTGCAGCTCTGGATCATTGCCACAGACCACGTGGTGGAGAGCGGGCAAGAGGCTCCTGTGCGGCGTCGACTTCACATCGAAAGCGGCACGCACCGAGCTCGTGGCAATGGCCATGGGTATGCGATGATCGTGCATATGGAGTATAAAGTCCTTGACCCCCGGCATTAGTTTCACGTTCTGAATGCGCCTGAGCACCACAGCGTCGAATATCTTGAGGTACTTCTCGGGGGACAGCGGCAGCTGCAGCTCCGTGACCAACTTTTGAGCAGACTGCAGCGCCGGCATGCCCATGTAGCGCAGCTTCATCTCGTAGGTGTAGCTTTTGCCGAAGGGTTCGACGATCTCGTTTATGGCATCCGTGTAGATGTTTTCGGTGTCTAAGAGAGGGAGGGTGGATTACTAATTACATTCAAGACTCTGAAGCAGAGGCCAGCAGCGATCTCGGGCAGAGCAGTCGACACACGCAGAGCGCTGAAAGCTTCGCGTGGCAGAGAAGGAACGCAGCGGCAGAGAAGCATGAAACGTTTTTGAACCGAGAGCGCAAAGGTGCCAAAGAAAGCTCTCTCCGTTTGTGGCTTTGTGTCCGTTGTTTGTGTTTTTGTTCACAGTAAAGTCCACACATTACATGCCGACCGCTGCTGTAAAGAATGTCGCCTTACCCATAACCGTCCCATCACTGTCGAAAATGATGTGCGTGACGGGCTTGTAGCTGGACTTAGCAGCCATATTGTCCGGTTCTCCTCTCCTCGGACCGCTCTCTGGCCATCCACTACGACATGCTACAAGGCTCAGACTTAGGTAATTTGAAAATTAAATGTTGAATGCTATAGCAAAGATGCCTAACCTCGGCTGATCAAAGCCTTTGCCCGTTTCTCAAAGGATTTAATTAAACAATTTAGACATTTGCCGACGCCTCCTCGTCTCTCCACCGCGCTTCGCATACTTTGGCAACTTTTTGGGAATTTCCACCCACTCTTCGTGCTGGGAGTTGCACAAGTTGCAGCCAGCTGTTGCAAAAGAGTCGAGTTGGGCTGCGTGCAGGGTTCAGCTGTCATTTCGTTGGCGCCTCCTCGGTGGAGGGTTCGTTGCATTTTTATATATTTGACTAAGTCTGATGCATGCGGCGCACGCTTGCAACGGGTTCCTTGGTCTCCTGCCTTCCGCATGTTGTTACAAACTTGCGTAATTGATTAAGCAGTTGCCAGCCATGCCGCAAGACGCAAGTTGCGGCAACGCGTCGCCGAAACTTTGGCTTAGCCAATACGTGCCATCGGATTGGGGTATGGAGCGGTGTGTGGTGGCGGGGTCAGCATGTGGCAAACTTTGTTGCATTTGGGCGCTGCGGCGGATGCGGTGTGAAAGGTGAATGCTTCGCGCTGCTTGATCCGTGGTTTTGGGTGTTTGGGTTTTACTTGTGTCGCGAACGTTTAGCGGAAATTGAAAGCTTATGATATGCGGACATTTGGGGAAGTTCAGGCAGGCAGGTAATCACATGTTTAAGTGCGTTTGTATGCACAGAAAGCAGATAGAAAGTCGAAAAACGTTTCTTGCTTCTCTGCCGCTACGGCAGCAGAGCAACGGATCTTCATGGAATGAGTGTAAGCGAGAGAGAGCGAGCTTCTTTGGCCCTTTGCTCTCTGCTCAAAAACGTTTCTTGCTTCTCTGCCGCTACGGCAGCAGAGCAACGGATCTTCATGGAATGCGTGTAAGCGAGAGAGAGCGAGCTTCTTTGGCCCTTTGCTCTATGCTCAAAAACGTTTCTTGCTTCTCTGCCGCTACGGCAGCAGAGCAACGGATCTTCATGGAAGGAGTGCAAGCGAGAGAGAGCGAGCTTCTTTGGCCCTTGCTCTCTGCTCAAAAACGTTTCTTGCTTCTCTGCCGAAGTTCTTTCTCTGCCGCTGCTGCGGTTCTCCGTGCGAAAGCCACACGAAGCTTTTACGCGCTGAGCGTGTGCCGACTGCGCTGCCCGAGATCAAGCCTGTGCATTAAACCCACAAGCAAATGCAACTTAAGCCAATAAGCCCCACAATATACGCTGAAAAGCGCACTGAAAATGCGCAGCTCTTCATACTGACCGCATTGTCTATCGAGTCGCGTCGCGTCGTTCCAAGTGCAGTTTGGATTCCATTTGAAGTGTGGCCACTTTTATTACCTTTTATTGGCACTCACTTCGCTGCTCCTCTCTCTCTCTCTCTCTCTTTTGTTGCAGTCAAAACCATTGACCGTAACGCATTAATGTCCTGTGGGGCCCGCCGAAATCGAAGTCCAACTTCTGGCAATCGAATCGATTTGCTTGCTTGGCTGAATGGTTGGGTGGATCCCATCGAATGCCCAACTGGTTGGCTGCGCTTTCATATTTTATGGACCAAAGTCCAACTTTAATTGGAACAATACCAATAAATGCCAAATGCAGAGACAGCGAGAGAGAGCCAAAAAGTTTGATGTGCATTGACCGGGATACGCTGCTTAAGGGGAAACAGATGCAGACACAGACACGGCAGAGGCAGAGCGGCGCAGCCACAGCGACCACGAGGATAACAACGGCTTTTGGGCGCAAGTTTGCGGTTACGGGGAGACAGTAGACCCCCCCCACACCCTGTCGACTGTCGTAGACAACGCGGCGACCAGTTAACAATTCAATGAACGCAATTACCGCGCGGCCAGCACACAGATTGAGGCTCTCCGAGTCCTGCCACACGTTGCCAGGACAGCGATTAGAGGCTGTGCATTCGAAATTAAACGTTTACAACATATTGTTGTTGGCTGTTGTCCCTTGTGGCTGGGCAAAATGGTTGGAAAAAAAGACAAAACGAGTCTCCCTCACGGCCATAAATGCTGGGCGCCCACCAAAATGGTTTCCTGCATAATTTATGCGCACAATTCTCCAACCAACTCATTTAGCCCCACAACAGCTGACACACGGACGCCATACAGCCGCTACAAATACTCCACACAGGACAGCCGCCCGTCTGGGTGTTCGTTCGATTAATTAAAATGTATTTTATTGACTGAAAGACGACGTAGTGGGAATGAATGTGATTGCGCACGTAAATTGATTTAGCTGATTTGGCATTTTGCAACGAGTCAATAAGAAATTGAATGGAGAAAGAAACAAGCAAAGGAAAACCTTAAAGTTCGACTAGCGTCGCTACCGTGGCGGCAGCACTGTTAACAGCACAGCGTAACAGTCTGTTCCCACTGTTAACAGCACAGCGTAACAGTCTGTTCCCACATTTAACAGCGCAGCTTAACAGCCTGTTTCTGCTAACAGCACCCGTCTACAGTGCTGGTGGCGCTCTCCGGCAGCTCTCTGAGAGTGGTCTCGCGCTCGCTCTCTCGATCCACGCGGCTCCCGAGCGCAAGCTCGAGTAAAGTGACGCTCGGCCACCAGCCACCACCCCCGCCGCGCAGCTCAACAGTGCCTGAAATCCATCCTCCTACAAACATAATCAATTCCCTGGACCCAAACCTAACCCAAAATTCCATGCGGAACGACTTCGACCCTCTGGGCCACCGCAAAGGAATACCAAATTGAATAAATAGTATAATCTCCCAAAGAGTAACCCAATAGCCGCTGGCCATCTCACCATTGAGCAACTCCTTTGGCACTCAATAAATGTTATCCGACGGCAGGCTCAAATGTCAGCCACATATTCCCTCAATCATCAAGGACTTCACTCCACTCGCTGTGTCTCTTCCTTGAGCGATTTCCCCAAGGGTCTGCAGCTGCAACAATGTGTCCCGGAAAACGGTTGGGGAGGCTGCCAAAACATGGGCACAAAGTCCAATTTGTTTGTAATGGCATTACTTTGTTTACGAAACAAATTTTGTATGCATAGCGAGTAGTCCTAGGACTCGCCTGTGTGCTCCTTGGGCTCCTGCCACATCACTTGCCCCATCTACGGAGGTGACCCCTGCAACAAACGATGCAAAAACCCAACTCGCAAACTCCGCCGCGGGTGGAAACGAAAACAAAAACAAGAGAAACACAGCCAGAAAAATGCCAAATAAAATATATGTAAATATGTATGTGAAAATGTAGAAATGTATGTAAATATGTACGGGCATATGTACGACTTCTAAAATCGTTGTACCATAAAATTTCCCCAATGGACGCTGCTGTGAGTTGTCTTCATTCTACGCTCTCCTTTCTCCGTTCTGCCTTTTCGCTGTTTAATTTTACAATTGTCCTTTTTTCTTTATTCCTGACCAGGGACTCGGCGTGGGAGCGGGCACGAAGCGATATCTGGGAGCGTGTGTCTGCCGAATGGCTGTCCAGGGGCATGAGGTTTATCTATGCGCATCCGTTCCGACTGCGGTTTTCTGATTTATGCTTCCTTCTGTGGGCCAGGACATTTGTTTTATTTGTAAACACAAGAAAAGGCGGCTAGGAAAAGCGGTGGAAGGAAGGGAAGTAGTAGTCAAAGTTTGTTAACAAATTAGATTGGAAGTTTGGAAAATGTTTGATCTATGATCATAATACTCCAAGAAGGGAGTGCGGCTCTTCAAACCTTCCAAACCAAAATATAAACTCAAATGTTTGGTGCCACCGAAAACATTTTACATTTTATTGAGAACCTTTCCAAACCAACCTTTAGTCAGGGTCATTAAAGCATTACCTGGAACCAATCTTCCAGAAAATGTTTTCTTCAGCAAAGTATTTCCCTGCCCTAAGTGTCTGGCGGACACGCTTCCTGTGGTATTTTGATCATTTTGCTCAAAACAATGCCAGATCTGCGAGCCAAAGTCTGAGCTGTAAAAATAACATCCGATGGAGGCAGACGAAGGCGGGTTTGAATGGTAGCCCAATCTGAAATATAAATATTGGAGCTATAAATAAATAAATATCAATTATAATTTAATCACTCACGAAAGCTAAAGACATTGCTGGCGTCGAAGCACATGTAGCGTATGGCAAACGTGTCATAGTCCGTGTCCAGCACGTAGATTTGAATGCCCTCAGGAAAGGCTGAGCAAAGGAATGTTGAAGTTATTGAAAATTAAATGAAATTATTGCCTTTTCCTACCACTGTTTTTGGTCATTAAATCGTATCTGCCGCGTGCTGCGTCCACATGTTTCAACTCCTCATTTCTGATCTTCAACGTTTCGGTGCTGTAAAGAGAACATTCCACGGATAATATTCCACTCTTTTTTGGAGTCCTTCATTGGCTTACTTGGTGCTCAGCTCTGAGGCTCTGATGAAGTAGTGCTTATCATTTTTTTTCTTAAAATCCACCGACTGACATTTGGGCACACGTTTCGAGAAACTTGGATAAACGGAATAGGTGTACCACTTGCCCAAGAACCTATCGATATCAAAATCCGCCACAGCTGTCATATTTGTGGAACAAGGGCCTTCGAGGGCGATGATAGCCAGGGAGGATGAAAAAAGCAAGGGAAAACTATTGCAAGAAAATGATTTTTAGAGCTATTCAGTGGGTTCTGTTGAACACTTACACGAAGAGCTGCAGCGTGATCATGTTGCAGCGGTTTCGTTCGGAATGAATTGGAATAAAATGCAATTGAGGGAACTGACGAAAACGATTGGTAAAGCAAGGAGCGGAACTAAAGGCAATTCCAAAGTGGATTTATACAGTTTTGAGCTCTTAGCTTAGGCAACTAAAATCCCTCTCAAACCTCTCGCATCTTTTCCATAACCGAAACTATGTTTTATTTCATGCATTAACAATTAATTTTAATATTCAACATAACACTTGTCTATACAACTACTCACGTCCGTATGTATGTATATAAAATATTTATGTACACATTACATTTAAGAACTCGTAAAGTTCATAAAAATATTGTAGAGACGCATGTAGAAGCGTCGCAGCCATTCTCATGCCTTCTCAATGGCATTTGGCAGCACAGTGCCAACAAATTCATCGATCGGATCGCCAACAGTCAAATCCTCAGCGCCAAAGTCCGTGCCATTTGAGTCCAATTTGGGGCAATTGCTCTGCTGTGTGTCAATGAAGAAGGATTCCGAGATTTTGTTATCAGCTAAGATTTCTTTGGCTGCGGCAATGGTCGCTGCTGTGGGTTCACGCTCACGGGTTAAGATCCAAGCGAATTCTGAATGGAAGGGAAGGGTTCGATATTTGTTAGTTATTCTATTTGGAATATGCCAGAAAGATAACAAGTGACAAAGTGTTGAGCACATGCCAAATAGGAGGAGTCAACGCTTGGCATAATAATTTTCCAGTTGACTTCCTCGTTTACTCACTGATATTAGCCAGAGATATCACGTTCGTGCAGCTGTAGACAACGGAAAACGACTCATAGTCGGTGCCCAGTACCATATAGTTGGGCTTTGTAGTTTGCTCTACAAATTTGGGTGAAAATATATCAAATTTGGATTATCAATGCGGAAGAGCTTCACTTACGTCCTGGGAAAAAGGCCACAGCCAGTCGTGCGGGGCCTAGAACCTTCGCAGTGCCACTTATGCTCGAGGGGTTGCCAGTGCTGCATAAATTATGCATAATTAGTATTGGGCAACACAGCTTTTGTCTCAACTCACAGTCGATTGATGCCGCCATTCACCACGGACAGCGTTTCATTGTTAATGATCGAGTAGTTGGCGTAGATGCACTTCTTGCCAATTTCAAATGCAAATGGATATTTGCTATACTCATACCAGATGCCCAAGTACTGCAAGGAGTTGTGGAATATTAACAGAGTTCAAATATAAACGAGAAGGGCGTGTGAGACGCTTCTTACGCGTCACAACTTTTACACCCGGAACTCAGTACTACAGTACTACGCTCAACACGACGGACGGACAGACGGACGGACAGTAACACATGGCTCAATCGACTCGGCTTTTGAAGCTGATCAAGAATATATACACTTTGTGGGGTCGGAAACGTTTCCTTCTGTGCGTTACATACAACCGTTATTCCCCACAAATACAATGTACCCTATTGACTCTTCGAGTACCGGGTATAATTAATTCCCATGGAATTTTTGCTTTGTCACAACAGGTGTTTCGGTATCTTCAAACACCTTGTGTTTGTGTTTATCAAACAGTGTTTTCGCGTGATTAAACAGTAGCAACTTATCAATAATATTTATCTTATCTTTTTGTCTTTTCGTTCTGTGGAAAAACTCGACGCAACTTTATTCTGCGGCATGACTATCACTTTCATTATTGTTATCAATTATCAACATTAATTCATAAATTTTTACAATTCCAAAAGGATCTTCTTTTTATTTTTTGATAACAAAAAGTCTTGTAGTCTCTCTAATCTCTAAAAATGCCCCACCAGTGACCCCCTATGCACATCGAACATAAACCAAAACAAAAACACTCACCGCTTCCACATCGAAGTCTTCCATTACTTTGACCTCCGGACACTTTCCCGGAAAGGGAACTTGAGCGTGCGCCAACAAAACTTCATTGCCGGCCAGCAGTCCGATGAGCAGCAACAAATGTAAGCTGTGAGCGTGATGAAGCGACATGTAAATAACTGCAAACTGGCGACTGGTAAACAATTAGGAGACATACCCCGAACGTTGCTGAATCATTTCAATAGATTTTTCTAGTTAGCGCCGTTCTACTTCTAGCTTTGAACTGGAGCGCGAGTGCAGCTGCAATTCACCTTTATATGTGCTTGTGGGCAGAGCTTTGGGCTTCGGGTAGGTCGCTGCTGGGCAGGCAGGTAGACGGACGAACGCATGGGCGGATGAGAGCTTTTGCCGATTGCGCCGACGCTGCTTGACAATGTAAACAAAAGTGCAACGCAGACGATCCGGCATAGAGAGAGAGAGAGAGAGAGTGGAAGAGAGAGGCTAAGTGTGTTTGTGTGCTCTCGTTACACTCTCTGAGCGCTTATAATTTACATGCAAATGTAAATATGTATGTAAATATGTATGTTTGCATGCATAGAACACTTTTTGCTATAATTGTGTCTAGATAAGGGCTTCCGCGTGTTGCGGAATTGTCAGCGAACGAGTGGAGTAGTTCAATGTCCTCAAATATGGTTAATCGCATGTGCCATGCTTTTATTCTTAACGAGAAGGGACGTGTGAGACGCTTCTTACCCGTCACAACTTTTACACCCCGCACTCAGTACTACATCTGCACCTTAGCGGTGTTTTGTCAAATTTTACATTTTTTCTTCACCTGTCATCTACATCTACAACACTTCTCACGCCAACACGCTTTGATCTTAAACGTGTCGGTGCTGTAAAGAGAATTTCGGATAATTTTCCACTCTTTTTTGGAGTCTTTCACTGGCTTACTTGGTGCTCAGCTCTGAGGCTCTTATGGAGTAGTGTTGCTCATTCGCTGGTAAACGAAGGAGCAAAACTAAAGGCAATTCCAAGGTGGATTTGTACAACTTTTTAAAGTCTTTCTACTGTCACAAGTCTTAGTTTATATCAAAAGACAAACATCTTTTCCATAACCGAAATTATGTTTTATTTCATGCATTAACAATTCATTGTGAACTTCTACATAACATTTGTCTATACAACTACACATGTACATGTAAAATATTTATGTAAAATATTGTAGAGACGCATGTAGAAGCTTCGCAGCCATACTCATCCCTTCTCAATGCCACTTTATTCCAATTTGGGGCAGTTGCTCTGCTGTGTCTCGATGAGTGGGGATTGCGAGATTTTGTTATCAGCCAAGATTTGTTTGGCTGCGGCAATGGTCGCTGCTGTGGGTTCACGCTCACGGGTTAAGATCCAAGCGAATTCTGAATGGAATGAATGGAATGCCATAAGGTTAACATGCATAATGCCAAATGGGTGGTGGTTACTGGTTACTCACTGATATTAGTCAGAGATGCCACGTTAGTGCAGCTGTAGACAACGGAAAACGACTCGTAGTCGGTGCCCAGTACCAGATAGTTGGCTTTTGTCGTTTGCTCTACAATTTTGCGAGATAATATACATCAAATTTGGATTATCAATGCGGTAGAGCTTCACTTACGTCCTGGATAAAAGGCCACAGCCAGTCGTGCGGGGCCTAGAACCTTCGCTGTGCCACTTATGCTCGAGGGGTTGCCAGTGCTGCATAAATTATGCATAATTAGTATTGGGCAACACATATTTCTAACCAACTTACAGTCGATTGATGCCGCCATTCACTACGGACAGCGTTTCACTGTCAATGATCGAGTAGTTGGCGTAGATGCACTTCTTGCCAGTTTCAAATGAAAATGGATATTTGCTATACTCATACCAGATGCCCAAGTACTGCAAGGAGTTGTGGAACATTAACAGAGTTCAAGCTTTGCCACAACAGGTGTTCCGGTGTCTTGTGGAGTGCTTTGTGTTTGTGTTTATCAAATAGTTAGTAACTACTTATCTTTGTGCTCTGCAGAAACACACGAAGCAACTTTGTTCTGCGGCCTGACTATCACTTTCATTATTGTTATCAATTATCGACATTATTGTACAGCTCCTAACTTATACTTTGCAGCACCTTTCGCACCCTCTCCAGCCCGCAACAAACATAAACAAACAAGAAACGAAAGCAAAACCAATACAAAAACACTCACCGCCTCCACATCGAAGTCTTCCATTACTTTGACCTCCGGACACTGTCCGGGAAAGGGAACCTGAGCGTGCGCCAACAAAACTCCACTGCCGGCCAGCAGTGCGATGAGCAGCAAGAAATGCAAGCTGTGAGCGTGATGAAGCGACATGTAAATAACTGCAAACTGGCGACTGGTAAACAATTAAGAGACATACCCCGAACGTTGCTGAATCATTTAGGTAGATTTTTTGTAGTTAGCGCTGCAGAAAATAAACGAATTTCTGTTCTACTTCTAGCTTAGAACTGGAGCGCTAGTGCAGCTGAGATTCACCTTTATATGTGCTTGTGGGCAGAGCTTTGGCCGAGCAGGCAAATAGCCAGACGAAATCACGCACTCTGTGCGATAATTGTGGCTAGATAAGGGCTTCCGCCTGATGCTTGCAAGTCAATTGCCAGCGATCAAGTGGAGTAGTTCAATGTCCCCAAATATGGTTAGTCGCAAATGTGTCACAATGTGCCATGCTTTTATTCTAAATTGTTGTGTTGATTTTGTATTAGTCACTATTCATAGACATCACAATCGAACTGCTTGGCATCCATCATGTCCACGACTTCAATTTCCTGCTTGATGAGCGCATTCTGAGCGGCCAAAATGTGCTTGCCCGGCGGCTTGCAGTGCCGCGTCATGATCCAAGCGCCAACTAAGGAAAGTAAAGGAACATTTCAGATGGGAATAGCTCTGAGATTTAACATTACTCACGGTAGTGGCCCTTTCTGTGCGCAATGCAGGTGAGCATGACCACATAGGAGTCATATTCCACAGCCACGGGAAACATGGTAAAGCGATGTGGGCGAGTGGCTGCAGAGGGAAGCTTGAAAATCTCTGCAGATTTGTGGATTTGTAGACTTACGTATAGGTTTCCTATGCGGCGGATTATCATAGGCTGTAAGGAGAATTTTTCGAATTTTTCGAATATTTTTCACTATTTATTTAACTATTTTTCCGGCACTCACTGCTATTGCGCCGCTTGACTTCGATGCCTCCAGTGCTATCCACATAGCGTATAACAGTCGAGCGAGTCATCACCTTTTTGGCAACTCTTTGAAACATAATTTGAATATGACTAATTTATTGTCCATGTGCTGCCTCACCTATTGTCCAGCAGCAGCTCAAACTCATAGTAGCGTCCACTATGCCGTTGATAGAGAAAATGCTGACACTCCAGCTGCGGTTCATCGTCGAATGGGTAGTGGGATTGCACATACCAAACGCCCAGAAACTAGTGGAACAAGAAATCATGACTAAAGCGCGCCTAAAGGGTATTTAAGTGCCAGCTTCTGACCTTATCTAAATCAAATTTCTCGACAGGATTCATTACGGGACACGCGCCTGGGTACAGGTCCAAGCCAGTAACCTTCTCCCACAGAAATACGAGTAAAATGAATAAAAAGTTTTCCTTTAGCTCCATTTCTAGCTAAATCTCTTGCCCAACTGCAACTTGTCTTGGATATTTTTGATTTCCCATAATAATTACATTTTCTCCGCTTGATTTTCCATTACACTTTTTGCGCCCACTCCAGCGAAAGCTTCGGCCCTCGCGTGTGGATTGCATTCGCGTGGCGCCCTCCACTGGATACAATCCACCTGCGCGGACAGTGGCGCCATCTGTTGAGTGCTTTGCCATTGTTGCTTGATTTTTGTGTGTTTTTTGTCTGGTCAGAATCTGTGCGAGATTTTTGCGGTTCTTTTTGCTGGGAAGACGAGCAATGACATTCCCCCGCAAATTATTATTAAATTAATTAAATGTAAACCACAAATTGAGTTAAAGCAAAGGACAGCAAAGGCAGAACAGAGAGAGGAAGTACCATGTGGAAGAGAGAGAGAGAGAGAGAGAGAGGGAAGAGACCCAGTGCCTGTGCAGTTGATGTATGGAGGGTTTTTGTGGCAGGTGGGATTGAAGAGTTTGCCATCACAGAACGCTTTAGGATCAAGGGGAAACAGTTCAAAAAATGCTCTAAAAATTAGAATTGCAAATTAAAATTGTTCAGAAATTGAGCAAATTGAGCCTCTAAACTATTACATTTCCCAAAGGAACTCTTCGATCCCCCTGCGTTCGAATACATATTCATATTTTCAGACATATGTACAACCGCATAACTAGCGCAGATTTTGAATGGGCAGCCAACTATTTGGAAAAGCGAATTCATAGCGCATTTCCCTCGGTCTACCCCGCGGGGTCGTGGAATGAAAGGATTGGCGCTGCCCCATGGATGGATGGATGGATGGAATGGAATGGCTGCTTGTTGTCGTTTGTGTGGCATGCAGCGTGCAGCGTGCAGCGTGTAGTAATTAAATTTAAAATATGTACCGCACATTTACCGGACATCTGAGCCTTCAAAACAGGTGGCACTGCCTGTGGGTGGGCGCGGGCAAGGGATAATTTGATCAAAGGCAAACCATAAGCCAGTCGGCAAACGGGTAGCCTGATACGCAGAGCCAGAGAGCCGGCTGTGGGTTATTAAAGGCCCTGAGTGCAGCTTTTTGGGCACATTTATGCTCCAGGTCCCCAGACAGTGGCGTCGTCCTTAAAGGGTATTTGCACAGATAATTCTTCGCATCCTGAATCGTATTTAAATGCGACATTAAATATGTTAAGTATGTAGTTTAAATATACATTTGTATGCCCGATGAGCCTATTATTTATTGCGGCAGTTCCCTCCTGTGGCCCCTGTCACTGTGGTGCGTAAACCGCAGAACCGAAGAGATTGCCATGTGAGATGAGAGCGTGAGGCAGAACATCGAGTATTGGGTCGAAAATAAAGGTAAATCCTTTGAGGGATGTGTTGGTAATTTGTAAGGGAAGGAATGCATTTTTATAGATTTTTTTGGAGGTGATGATAAAAATATTCAACCAAAAAGGAGAATAGTTTTGCATGAAAACTGCACTGAAAAAACCAACAAAATTGCATTAAAAGTCTTGGAATATCTCTTATAAATCCTTATGCAATTACTCACAACTCCTCGAGAAAGTCCTCGCACCACTCACGAGCTGTCGTGTCGTGTCACGTTTGCACATCCATTAAAAATCTCTCTCTCTGCACACAATTCAATCATTTTTGCGATTTTAAGTGCTCGAATATTTTGCGGTTACTCATTCGCTTTATGGGCAATGTATTTTGTTCAATGTAATTTGATTTCAGCAAAAAATCAGAGCACCAGAGTGCTGGACATCCTGGCCACAGGACAGCTCATGGGAGAGCGCGTGTGTGGCTATTTAATTAAGTGGCTACCTTTAAAACCTGCCACCAAAATTGAATTAATTTCGATTATTATTGTAGTGCCATTTGGGTTTATTTGGGTGCACTGCACCCACTGTCTGCGGCAATCAACAGATGACATAAAAAAGGACCGGGAATGATAACACTAAACTGTCGGCTAAATAACATCCGAGTGGAGGAAAGCAATAGCCACAGGAGCAGCAGGAGGCGGCACTTGCAACATCAAGCAACCCAAGCGAACTTGTGGGAGTGGGGAAGGGAAAGGGAAAGGGAAAGAGCTTCCCAGAATGCGTGGGAATTGCAAAACATGACGCAATTTGTGCTTGCCTTTGTTCTCGTTTGCCTGCCCCCTTTTTGCATGCCATTCTCCTAGGATATTACGAGCTGTTTCTCTTCTTTTGCATTGGCAACAGAGCTGAGTGAAACGGGCATGCAGCAGTGGAAGGCATGAGGAGCAGATGACAGCGCTGAGAGAGAGCTTTAATTGAAGAGAGAGCATCAATCTGCGAGAGCGTCAAGTTACTTCGTTTTATGTGATCAAAGGAACAACAAACATTTGCGATAATTGCACTTAGTTCAAAAGCAAAGCCAACGAGAGCCAATGTTAAAATAATAAACCAATCGAATAACATAAACATCCAACCCCAGGGATCACCTTCAGTTATTGTCGTCGCCATTCCGTTAAAGTAAACATAAACATTTTGGACATTTGATTCCCCTTCCCTTTACGCTGATATTGCATTACGTGCACCCGTGCTGTTTACGCAGGTGCTCGATAGACGCAGAGGGCAAGAGAGCGCGTGGGAGAGAGAGCAAGGAAGAGAGCGCGTGGGACAGAGCGCGAGAGGCAGCGCGCAGCTTTCAGTGCTGCTTGCGGTACACGCTTTGGGATCAGTGTGTGTGCGTGGGTGTATGTGTGGCTCTATCGAGCTTGCACTTCTGTGAAGATCTGCAGCAAGAGACAGTCGGAAAGTGTGAGCTAAGCTTGAAGGAGTATTGGAGATTGAGTAATAAGACAAATAAAACCTTTGGCTGTTCGCTGGAGTTTTTGTGAATATTTTAGACGGCGAAGATCTGCGAACTGTAAGTACAATATTGCATGCAAGTTGAAGTCTGTTAGGAAAGTACCTAAACCTAAACCGAGTCTGCACCGAAAATAGTTCTGACATGTCCACATTCCTGTCCAAATTTTCTTACTTCTATTCATCAAAAATTCTACCTGCCACCTGATAAAAGTCATTCACAGTCAGTCATGGCCAAAGTTTTTTCTATTCCACATTTTATTTTGATATTGCCATCCTGGACAAATTTATTTATTTAGCACATTGTTTCTCGCACTCCTCCCCCCCCCCACACACGCATCAGTTGGCTCCAAACTGAAAGCAGAACAAGCAAAGCAAAGGAAAGAGCAATAACCACTTGGGGCAGACAACAAAGGGCGACAGGGGGGAGGGGAGGAGGGAGCGAGCCCTCGAAGAGTATTTTGATTTGTGAAATGCTCGAAAGTATTGTCGTTTTTTTCGGTGCTGGCTGTGCTAGAAACTTCTTAAATTTTTTATGGCGCATAACCTGTCTGGCACACATGTGCAAGCTCGCTCCTCCCTGTGCAGCGTACCACCCGCAAGCCAGTTTCCTGCAAAGGCTCAAAGTTACACGACGAAGACGTTGGGGCCTGGTTGGCAACGCTTATTGCATTATCCTCGGCTAGAGACAGGACCCAGAGTGTGGGAGCCAGCCCCAGAGTCGTGTGCGTGCCCAGCTGGTTCTAGGGGAATGGGGGATTGGATATGGCAGAGGCAGAGGCAGGAACAGGGACAGGAAGATATATCCGCGCCAACTGCCGCAGCTGATGCCACTTTTGGCTCGTGGCAGCCGCGAGCTGTTTGCCTGCTTGTTGTTGTTATGCCGGTTAGGGCGTTGGGAAAGGGATATCCAGGGTGGAAGCCACCAAACTGTGAGGCAAATCATATTACTCGTGGGAGAACACAACGAAGATTTTGTATGCTCTGCAGGGAGATCTTTGAGAGCACTCTTTGGAGAGATCTTTGAGATCTTTCCTAATAGATAATCACTTGGAAATATTTTGAACATTTTTAAACAATTTCTCCCTAAAGTTTCCTTTGTTTATGTTTGCGCCCAACATCCGCCCAATATCCCCGGCTCTAGAGAGTGCCTGAAAAATATGAAAATTGGCACGACTTTGGCTTCAGCGCCCCCCCACCCTCACCCACGCACCTTATGCAGCCTCCCATTTGGCTGCCAAGAAATGTTAATACCGAAAAAAGCGAACCATTTGCCGCAATGAAAATCGCGTAAATTTCATACTGATTGTAAGTGTCGCCTCGCCGTTTTCTTGACGCTGCCACAGAAGCGCAGAAAGCTGGACGAAGGAACTAGAAATGGGAGATGGCAAAGGACACAAATGGAGGCTAGCAGAGAGATGGAGCTGGAGATTGCTGTACGAGTTGTAGACGGACGGAACTGCCATTCCGCCGTCTGTTTTCTCCCCTTCCTGTTTGGGCCAAAACTCTGGTGTTTGGCTGTCGCCTGCAGATTGTCAGCATTGTCACAATTGCAATTTTAAGGATGGAACGGGCCGTGACATGGTATGAGATTCGCTGATTTGGTTTGCCATTTCAGCAGAGGGGAGGCCGGGCAGCAGCAGCAGCAGCATTTGCAACATTTTTGCGGGCATTTACCATAAGTATCCGAGCCAAGAACGTCATTCGATGAGAGCGTTAATAGGCGACCGAGACGACGCGACGCGACGCGACGCGACCAATACGCGTACCAGCTGCTAAATCTTTCAAATTACAAAAGTTTTTCTTGTGCACATTTGGCGGACTTTCTATGGGTTTCCCTTCTGTTTTTTGTGGTGTTCTATGTTGTACATATCCTGGGGGGGTGTTTACAGCTTGGGTTGTGTACAAAGGGTTGCTGCAGGAACAAGAGTGAATCATGTCATAATTTGATAAAGACCAAAGCGTGCAATGTTTCACTTCAATTGATAAATTAAGCAACGAATCTTGGGGCAATCCGCTATGTTAAGCGTAACAGCAGCTGTAGCGTGGCAACAGAATGTTAGCATTGCAGCCCGAACGGTCTGTTAACAGACTGTTAGCGTTGCATGTACGCGCACTGTTAGCACTACAGCCGGAACAGTCTGTTAACTCTCCAACTACGCTGCTTCTCGCTCTGCCGCCGACGCTCGCTCTCTCCCGACGATGCTCGCTCTCTGGCTACGATCCACGCGGCGCTCAGGCAGCATAAGCTTGTAGGCTAATGGGACTCCAATTCCACCCCCGTTGTAACCGGACAGCTACATAGGCACATACTTTTTGGCTGCGCTCATCCTAGGGCCAAGTACAGCTTTTAGATGTGCCTCTCCTCTATCCATGTACCGCTATTCTCTTTCATATGCTTGGAAGTATTTCTCCTCTCCTACCAGCCCTGCCAAATGCTGCTTTCTGTCCCTGTCTCTGTCTCTCTTTTCGCTGGATAATGTTTGTTTGACTTCTGTCGAAGTCTGATTAAAAAATAATTTCGCAAAAATATTGAATCACGTCGCGCAGCCGAGTCAAAATGGAACATTTCTTGTTCGGAATTGGAAGACGGATGGCATTTTTTTGATGGCCGAGAATCAAGTTTGTTTTTACGTGCCATGTACGCGGCGCGTCCTTCTCCTTCTCCTTCTCCTGGTCTTGTGGCCCTTCCTAGAACGTGGCAGACTTGGGCCTGGGGGATGTCAAAGGTCGGTCGCAGCTGCTGCAAATGGCTGGTGCTTTGGCGAAATGAGCGACCCCCACACAGCTCTGCGCTCGCTCTTCTCTCACTTTTGGCTATGAGAAATCGCTCGTCATTATCGACGCCTGCGAAAATCCGCCAGCTCAGACACACACACTGACAGTCTCCTCCCCCACTCTACCTACACAAAAGCGCCATAAATTATGTTAGTCCTACATACATGCATATAGACATCTGGAGCTGTGAAAAATCGTGCCCCAAAAACTTTGACCCAAACCTCACACCCGAGCGACGACACGGAGAGAAGTCGCAACTTATTGAAAATCACTTAGACACACATGTGACGCCCGCTCTCTCTCTCTCTCTCTCCCTCTCCCACCAGTTCGTGAGCAAATTAAACTAGAAGAGAGATGGGAGCTGGAGATGGGAGCTGGAGATGGGAGCTGAAAACTAAAGGAATTTCTGGGATATAATTTATGTTTTTGGGTTTTGCAGGCCTTTCCCCGAAAGGTTTTAGCGCAGAAAGTAAACAAATTTAGCTGGCCCCCAAAGACTGCACTTGATAAACGGTCGCAGGGCTGGACCACAACCAAGAATTGTGTAGACAGAGCCCCAAAAGGCAGCTTAATAGACATGACCACTGGCTAAGACTGTCCGCCAGCATGTGACGACAAACTCATAATTTATGGCCACATATCCCGGCCAGACGCCCAGTAGGCTATCTCTTCCTGGGCTTAGTCTGTGCGCTGTCTGGGCTGGGGCACTGGCACTGGCACTGTCAGAGTCGTCTGTAATTGTTTTCCTAATGGAACAGAGAGAGACCCCAAAAACATGACCGCACTTAAGTTGTCATTGGCGCAAGGAGGGCGTGGACAAATTTATGAGCAACGCCACAAAGGGAGCTAATCAGAAATGGGAAATAAGACTGAACCGAACAGCAACCAAAAACAAGGCGCAACTTTCAGCTTTTCATCAAATATAAATCTGCACCGGAAAACTATCTGTGGTGCAATTATCGATTGTCCGTTATCGATAGGTATTGACACACTCGTGACAGCACAAAGCTCCGTCTCTGGTTTGCCACCAAATTGAATTCTGTTTTACTTTTAGGCCCCGAACATCCAGCAAAAGTCTACAAAATGTTTCTCGATTTTAACGGCAATCCCATAGACGTGACACCCGATAATGTGCAGGGCTATGAATACGATAAGGTAAGTAAGTGCACAAAATGGCAAGCAGTTTGCTAACTTGTTTATTTTTGTGCTGCTGAAGCACGGCATAATGCTGCTGACCTCGTCGGAAACTGAGGCTTATCTGCCACCCAACTGGCATGGCACCATCTATGGCACCATGGAAATGCTCATCAACTACCGCGACAACTTCGATGTGAGTTTCGCAAAGAGATTCCCAGCAAAGTTGTATCTTTTATTCCAATGTACAATTTCCCCACAGACCGATTCTGATCTGCTGAAATTCCACGCCTTGCCGGCCTACGAGCCGGAGCTAGTTTGCTGCAGGAATGTTGTCGTCGAGGTGACGGTGATGCCCGCCGGCCAGAGCCTGCACAGCGATGCAGAGTTTGCTGTGTACATAGTGCACCTCTTCAAGTCCGTTACCAATCCTGATGGCACCGAAACCATCGAGGCGAACACCAACTCGCTGCTCAGCAAGGAGATTGGCACGGAGCTGAAGTTCTGCCCACACGATAATCACTTTCAAATGCGCCTCATGCAGGAGGGCATCGATGTAGTCTACTTGGATGACAAGATCTACAGGAACGGCTCTATCTACGCCGGCTTTCAGCATCAGCGTGTCTGCAGTCTGCTGCGCAATCTGGAGCCTCGCTGCGTGAGGAGCCTCTCGGGTCGCCCACTGCCGCCCATTCTGAACAGAATCTGTCGCGGCTCAACTTAAAAGTGCTTCCAGATTCTTCAAACTTACTTGCGCACATTCAAACGGTTGTCTATTGATTGGTTTATATAAATTTCAAGACTCCCCTGCACTCGTCTGGCGTATTTATTGTCTGGCCATATCTGATGGAGACACATTAGTCGCACTCGAATGGGCCAGCGTTTGTCTGGCGCATTTCTCGTCTGCTCTGCCAATTGATTTTTGCTAGGCTAATTCCTGTGGCGTTTCTAGAGGAAATGGCCAACAATTGAAATTGGAAGCTGCAAAATATCTAAATTGAAGTCTTTTGTAGTTTTTCTTTAACTAAATTTAAGCTGGCTGCAGGTTGTGTGCCGAAGTCCGCCTCGAGGCCTCTTGGATTGTTTAGGAACTCCACTTAAATCTTCCTTGGAAGGCAGATCTGTAATTTGCACACATTTCCTATCATTAATTCAATTTTTGAATCTTACTCGCTAATTAGCAAAGATGTGACCATTTCTTACACAACTCAAGACCACTTGGGATTATTTGGTGTTCGCCCTAACGCGTCTTTTCGTTTTTCATAAGCACTCGAGAAACATTTTGCAGCTGCAACTTTTTTCTGTTTAATTGGTGAGTAAATTTGAGACTTTCATTTCAATATATTCTTCTGCATTTATGGCAGTTTTTGGTTAAATAATGGCAGACGTCTTACACTAATTTTACATTGTTTATTTGTAGATTGTTTTAGCATGAGTCAGTCGCCGTCGCACCGCGTTGAAAGCGCGCCCACCGATATGGAGATGTTTGCCAATTTGTTTAAGTTTGAGCAACTGCAAACGAAGTACACTCCGCGAGTCTACTACAAGATGGAACCGAAGAGATTTTCCAGTGTTTATAGCCCGGACATGCAGAAGTTGCCCGAGATGCACCTAGACGATGAGCCGAAGAAGGAGGCCATGAACTGCGGCATTATGTCCATGGAGAGTGACTTGAAGCCATCGTTGCCGTCCATATCCAATGATGCGGACAACTAGACACCGAACATTTTGGATGTCCAAGTCAATGTGGAACTCAACTCAATCCTCAAGCACAATAACAAAAGCGTTCCCTAAACTCTCAATAAATACGCTTACTTCGTGGACTATGCAAAGTGTTCTTTTGTCGGAAAGTTTAAGACCTTCAGCCAAGCAGTCCCGCCCCTTGCTGCCGCACATTAGTATTCAAAACAAAATGTCATATATAATATTTTTGGGTGTTCCAATGTCCAAATCCCATTGGGCCCTTGGGCAACTGGGCGCACTGCGTGACATCTTTGTGTGTGGTCGAACGGGGCCGTGACCGGGATGTGCTGGACCCAAAAAATAATCTCCTACCCTTCTTAGGAGCCAGCCCCTACCCCTCGCAACATCTATCCGGATTCGAAGGCGGAGCCCCTGGCTATTTGATGGCTTTGCAATCGTTCTTCGGTCTGTGCCCGGAATATCTAATGGCTGCGTGCAACTAATTGGGTTGCTGGCAAAAGGATTTCGTTGTGCTTCTTGAATTTGCAAATCCTTTTTTAAGGCATAAATGGCTTTTGTTGTTCCCAAGCCCCTTGACCAGGCTCAGTGCTTAATGAAGAGCACGGCCTGCGAGTGGATTTGGTAGCAGGCACAAACAAAATTTCACGCAAAATCAAAAAGTTAAACAGAAAACTTTTCAGCGATGGTCAGCAATAATAGTTGGGGGGAAGTTGAGTGGAAAGCGTGAAAGAAATGGATCCACAGAGAGCAGCAGCAGCAGCAGCAGCAGCAGGCCCATGAAAAAGAGCGAAAGCAGCGTCCAACTAACGGAACTCAGGACGTAGGAGAAACATGAGCGAAACGAAAAAGAGCGAGAGCGAATGAGCTGTGATCTCTGCTCGCTCCCTCTGGCACGCGGTCGCGCAGCTGTGGCCGCGGGCAGAGGCTGCGGGCAGAATCGGCCATCGCTGACCAAGCAATAACTGTGCACTGGTGACTCATACTACGCTGGACGAGTGTTCTCCCCGTCCCCGCGTGGATCTACGTTAGATGCTGCGTCTCACGCATGAAGAAACTATATAAGGTGGTCTCGTCGGCCAAGGGAACGACCCACATAAGTTACCTTAAATGAAATCCCTGCCCAAAATCACAAATAAAAGATAATTAATTGTGCACACTTTTGATTTATTTAACTGGTTGGAAAATTGTGAACACTTGAATTCATTTTCATTCTAGTTGGTCTCCCCTTTGGTGCCCATTAGTTCCTTCTCTTTTTCGGCGATCATTTTCTCGCGCTCCAGTAAATTCTCTTCGGCCTCAGCCAACGCCTTTTCCAACATCTTGACACGCTCCTCGCGCTCGCGCACCTCGTTCTCCTTATTCAGCACCTGCTTAATGCGGCGGTCGAGGCGGCTCTTCTTAGCCTTGAGAGCGTTGCGTTTATCGTCGAGGAACTGCGTCGCTTCCTGCACGCGGCTGCGCACATGGGCGAGCTGTGCCTCGTAAATCTGCGATAAGTTTGCCAACTGCAACTAAACAAATGTTAAAATTAATAATTATGTATTGCTGCTGGTCTTTTATTATTATTTGATTTTGTCAAATCATAATTATTTAATTACGTTTTCACGCCTCATGATTTGGTTTTGGTTCACGCTGCTGCCTAATTTTCTCTTCCGGAAGCTCAATATTTTAATATTTCAATATTTGCATTGCATCGCCACGATCGGCGCTCACAAATATACCAACTCGTTTTCAGTATGTACCGCGAATAGACCACACAAAGTTGTACATTAATTTGTACATTTTGTTAGTGATATTATTCTGATGTTGAGGGCACTCCTCGCAAAGTTTCAAATCAAACCTCGAACCCACAAGCCACCATCAATGCCAATCGACATCAAATACTAGCAAAAAGTTCTTGCTGCTTTTTTGTTGCTGCCACAAATAGTTGTCAGTTGTGTGCCCCTTTTTTGTGTGCCTTTCCACCTGTTACCCACGCACCTGTTCAATAATTGATGTAAATCTGTCGGCACTGCGAAGTGTCACACTCTGGTTGTCATTTTCCGCTTTCCCCTTTTCCGTTTGTTGTTTTCCTGTTTCCCTTTCCTGAGACTGCTCTGTTGAGTGCCTTGTTGATCCTTTACATTCCTGTTTGTTGTTCACAACTTTTGAGGGGCACTTGGCTACATGGCAGTGGGGGAAAGAAAAAACCATCGTCCATTCCATGGAAACTTCACAGCTGCAAAGGGGCAGCAGGCGGCAGGACCTATGCACACAGAGGAGGCAGCCTATGGACACGGCAGGCAAGTTATGGCCTATAAGCTCTTGGGGCATGATAAATAGCCAAGAGCTCAAGTGGCCCACCATCGTCGTAGTTGCAGGCCAAAAAGCTTCGCACCTTTTAGCCTTCTGCAAAACCAAAAAAAAAAACTCCACTCCACTCCAACCCAAGCCCAGGCAATGGCTCTGGCTCTGCCCCTGGATAAGCCTCCGGAGAACGTAATGAAAATGAGATGAAAATTATTGCAACGTAAATCAGGCGCCCAGCTGGGACTTCCCCCGGTTGCTCCTGGCTATCCTGCTTCGGCTTTTGCCCCACATCCTTTTTCCCTGCCTAAACGTTTCCAACTGCTTAATTTGGCTTTCATTGCTGCTGTTCGTTCTACTTCTACTTCTGTTTGGTTTTTTTTTTGCTGCTTCCTTTAGTTTTTCGTATCTTTTTTCGATTTCGTTGCGGCCTGACATGAATTATTTAACGATCTCCAGCTGCGTTGATGCGATTCCAGCCAAGGATGCCCCTAAATTAAAGCCCTAACAAGCTTAATGCAAAAGACAACCGCAAAAGGGGCAGGAGCTGCCTTCATTTAATGCCACAATGTGTGGGTCAGAACAATAAGCGATTCCCCAGCACCAGCCAACAGTATTCCCATGCCCAAACCCATTTGAGAGTGTGTATTTCTGTGGCTGGGATTTAACTCTTTGTGCCAGCGTCGACTTTCCAATTTCAAGTGAAAAATCCCGCGAATGAACATGTAAACAACACAACACTGGACCCACCCATGAAAGCCAGGCGGAGAGTGGAACGGACTGCCGACGAGACAGGAAAAACAAAAGGAAAACTCACAAAATGCAAAGAAAAAATCGACTAAGAATGATTTTGTGGTTGGTCGGGGATTGGAGTCGCCTCAGATAGGACCTGTAAAAATATTTAGTTTATAATATAATTCAATTTATGGAAGAAATTACAATATAAATTTGCGTAAATGATTACTAGAAATAATTCTTTGAGAATTTTCCTGTATTTATTTTATTCCCTGAAAATGCAAGCTGCATTTTTCCACATTTTTTAATTCATTTAATTGTTAAGGATAATATTGCCACTTCCCAAAACTACATTCCCGACCAATATACCCCTCGAACTTCCAATTTTTGCCACCCCTGTGGCTGAATACTCACTGAGCTAAATGAAAATCTCACCACGGGACGCCGGGGCTGCTGCAAACTGCAATGGCCCCCAAAAGTGTATTTGTATTCGTATCTGTATCTGTGTATCTGCAGGGCCAATGTGTCTGCGTGTGGCAAGCAGTTTGCAACAAACTGTATCCTAAAACCAAATAAAATGGCGCACCGCCGTTGCAAACGCTTGAAATATATTTTTGGCAATGAAAAAAACACACAAAAAAAATAAAAAAATGTACAAAAAAGCAACAAAAAGTTGTTATAATAAAGGGAATGAAGCGCCAAAGCGTTGCGCTGCTGCAGGAGAATGTTGCAACAGAGTGCAGCCAGCGCATCCTTGCCCTGATAATCCCTGGGAAATTTGTCTAGCCTCGGAATGCTCTGCCGTAACTCCCTCCGCTAAGGCTGATGAATGACGTCGCTGCTGTGCAAATTATAAGAGCAATTTGCATTATACCTCCCCCACAGCCCACTACCCTGAGAACTGGATTAGTTGGGAGGCGCTGCAGCCACTGGGGTCTTTGGTGGGTTAATGATGGCCGGTTCTAGCGGGGGTTAACGTTGCTGGATAACTGATGGAATTGAGCGAATCAAACTGATCGGAAACTAAAGAAATTTATTCTCACCACACTCCAATCTGTTTCCATAAATTCTTACACCAGAACAAATAGAAATTCTTCCCTCCCACAGCTCTAACTGCCTTGATGACATCATCTGCTAGAAAATTCCCCCATAAAAATTGGCAACTTTTGCATTTAAACAATCATCTAATTGAAATCGAGACGAGATCAAGCGAACCCACACCGGGGAACACCAACTAGGAATGCCATTCAGTGTCCTGTGTCCTGTTAGTTCCAACCCTCATGTGTGCACAAATAATTGCAAATACATAAATAAATTGATGGTGGATAGTCAGTTCATTCTGTGCTGGCGCTGGCGCTGGCGCTGCTTTAAAGCATCATAAATTTTCAATGCGCCATTAGCATGATTTATGCCCATTTAATTTTTCATAACAATGGAAAAAAGCACAGCAAACGGGACACACACACACACACACACACGCGCGCAGGATGACAAACAAGACACAGGGCGACAGGCATTAGCAGGACAATAGAACTAAGGAGGAGGTGGAGGTGCATAAAAAATGCCGTGAATGAGGCGACAAGCGGCAACATAATTGAATAGTAAAAGCGTTGCACTGAAATTAACCACCACAAAATGACGGGGAGGAAAGGTCCAGCAGGGAGAGAGAGAGAGGCTGCCTGCCATGTACGGACGATTAAATTTCATTGAAATTGAATTACATTAAAAACAAGAACAATAATGGCTGGTTACTGCACAGCGAATTGACAAATACACTGCAGATTTCAAGCAGAGAACGGCAGCGTCGTGTCCACTGTGCGTGGGAGAAGAGATCTCGGGCAGCGCAGTCAGCGCACGTGCAGCGTAAGAGCTTCGTGTGTGGGGTCTATAGAGAGAGAGAGAGAGCAGCCGCAGCGGCAGAGAAAGAACTTCACGGCGGCAGAGAAGCAAGAAAGGAAAGCTTTCACTCTCTAGTTTACTCTCCCACTCTCTGAAAGGTAAATGCATAGTGAAGATCCGTTGCTCTGCTGCCGCTGCGGCAGAGAAGCAAGAAACGTTTCTCGACTTTTGTCTCTGTGTGCAAATGGAAAGCAACAAAAGGGATGGCAAGCATCAGTGTACCCTCTGGCAGTGCATAGAAAGAACTTGCGATGAGAGAAAAAGTGCAAAAGGCAAACGTTTCGTTTCGTTTCACTCAACGAGTCCAGAGCGGGGGAGACTGGCAGTCATGTCCAGCAGTGGCCCGGGACAATAGTGCACAAATTAACTTACAAAAGCTAAATAAAAACTGCCAACGCGGCAGCAGCACCAGTCCAATGTGTCCTAGTGGGTGGGTTTGTTGTCCTCGCCGGACGCATTTTGCTTTCATCTGTCTGCCATCTGCCTTCATTTCGGCTTAATGCTAAACAGCCTGTTGTTTACGGCTTTGGGCTTGTTTATGCCAGCTTCTTATCGCGCTGATTGTCATCCAAGCCCGACCCCGACCCCGACCCGAGTTGCTTAAAAAGTAATTTGCGAATTTATTAAAAGTTTTCTGCCTGCCTTTTGTCTGCCTTGGAAACACAATACTTTCCCCTCTCTCTCTGTGACTTTTACCCTATTTCGCTGCAAGGATACCCCCAGCAGGCGGCCAATTAGTTTTTCGCCTAATTCTTGAGGTGAAACACAAAATGTTTAAATTGAATTTTGCGGTTGAAAGTTGGTGGAGTGCAAAGAGGCGGAAGCTGTGGGGCCTCAATGTGGTAAGTGATTGGGTCTTCAATTACGAAAAAGAGATAATGTTTCCACTAGGCAGAAAATGTATTTCTTCCCGTCTTTATGTCAGAGCCATCAACCTCTTTTTTTTCTTTATTTTCCAGCATTATCTTGTCTATTTTTGTGTCTCATTTTCTTAGGCAAAACTGGCTTTAGTTTCTTGTGCGTAATCCACGCAATTTCATAGGAATTTCGAGCACAAATAAATCAGAAAGGAACTCGTCGCCACACGCCAAACAGCGGCAAGAACAACATAAATCTACTTGACGCAGCAGGACCCCAACTACACCGCAGACCTGAACCTGACTGAGCCACTCCGCACTTCTGGGAAGCCCCACTGTACCCTCCAGTGGGTGAGATTTATGAAACAGTCAAGTATTTTCTATTTAAGTTAATAACAATCATAATAATGGCAACAGGGAAAATTGATGCAGCAAAAGCAGATGGAAACAACAGGAATATTAAGGTTACTAACTGCAGACCGAAGTCGGGATACACTGCCGGCAGTTCCTTCATTTATTCTGATGGATATTCCAATTGAAGTGGAGCCTGGCTGCACAATGCCAGCAAAAATACTCCTTAAAGTCATTGAATTCTTCCCCTATGCACTTCCAAATTCTCTTCAAAATCCAACAACCCTCTCTAAGGGCATCCCAGCTGAGTGCAAGACGCCCTCTGATGATGATGCTGTGCCCCACACTCACATCCAACCTGATGATAGATGATATATGATGTGCATATAAGCGCAAATAATCACAAGATTCGCTCTTGTCTACGAAAATAAGTTCCATTTTTTCTCGTTTCCCCCCCTCGATGCATGCTCCAGCGGGGGGTGTCCTTGAGTGGGGAAGTTCCTGGGGCTGCTTGCTCATAATAACCTGCTAGGTGTCCTGCGTG